TAAATATACTTATAATTAAATCGTTTATAGACTACTTTTCCAGCAGCGGGGGCACGTATAATGCTTTTCTGCGGTGGTCCAGCTAGTGAAGGCCCTGGTATGGTTGTAGGTAACGAATTGAAAGAACCTATTCGATCCCACCACGATATTGAGAAGGATAATGTCAAATACTATAAAAAAGCTACTAAGGTATGCTTTTATACATTACGATTGTATGTATATAATTGATAATTGACCATACATTGGTATTTATTTCACTTCAGTTTTATGATGCACTTGCTAAACGTAGCTCGGCAAATGGCCATATTGTTGATATTTTTGCCGGGTGCCTTGATCAAGTTGGGTTACTTGAAATGAAATCTATGGTGAATTCAACTGGCGGATTTATGATTCTTTCCGATTCTTTTACTACATCTATTTTCAAACAAAGTTTTCAAAGAGTTTTTAATAAGGATGCTCAAGGTAATTTACAAATGGGATTCAACGCAACACTGGATGTACAGGTATTTATAATTGTTTTTATATTAATATAATAAACTCCTTTTTTTTTTAAAAAAAAAAAAAAAACTTTTTTTATATTTAGACTACCAGAGAGATGAGAGTTTGTGGCTTAATTGGTCATGCCATCTCTTCAAATAAAAAAAGCGCATCGGTGGGTGAAACAGAAATTGGTATAGCGAATACATCTGCATGGAAGATGTGTGGGATCACACCAAAGGCGACTGTTGCAGTATATTTTGAGGTTGTCAGCCAGCATAGTCAACCACTCCAACACAATAATCGCGGTTTGATTCAATTTTTGACACATTATCAACACTCTAGTGGGCAGTTCCGTTTACGTGTTACCACCATTGCCAGAAACTTTGCAGACGGAAGCAGCCCACAAATTGCTCAATCTTTCGATCAAGAGGCTGCTGCTGTACTCATGGCACGTATAGCGGTTTTCAAAGCCGAGATTGATGATGGGCCAGACGTTTTGAGATGGCTGGATCGTATGCTAATTCGATTATGTCAAAAATTTGCTGAATACCGAAAAGAAGACTCTTTATCATTTCGGCTTGCTGAAAACTTTTCTATATACCCTCAATTTATGTTCCATCTTCGAAGAAGTCAATTTTTACAGGTTTTCAATAATAGTCCAGACGAAACAGCATTTTACCGGTACTAAATTAAACTTAAAAGTTTATATGATATAAATTTATTTATTAAACTGTAATTTATTTTATAGACATGTATTAAACCGGGAAGATGTTAACAACTCTCTTATAATGATTCAACCCACTCTAATGTCATACGGATTTGATGCACCTCCACAACCAGTACTTTTGGATTCAGTTTCTATAAAACCAGACGTAATATTGTTACTTGATACATTCTTCCATATTCTTATTTTTCATGGAGAAACAATTGCACAATGGAGAAAAGCTGGGTATCAAGAACAAGATGGTTACGAAAATTTTAAAGAGTTGCTGGATGCGCCAAAAACCGATTCAGAGGTGTGTATATATCTGTTTTTATTAGTTTTAATATTCGAGTTTTGACACTTTTTTCTTCAGGAACTTTTGGCAGACCGTTTCCCAGTCCCTAGATATATTGTATGTGACCAACATGGTTCTCAAGCACGCTTTCTTCTTTCCAAACTTAATCCTTCAACTACTCACGTTTCTGGAAATATGTATGGAGCACCACAAGGTCAAGCTATTTTTACGGATGATGTCAGTCTACAAGTATTTATGGAGCATTTAAAGAAGTAAGTATATTAATTAAGATTAAAATATATAATTCATTTTTAACTAATTTATTTTAAATTTAGACTGGCTGTGAGTGGGTCTTCTTAAACGAAAGGTTTTTTTTTTTTCAAAACGGATTGGAACTTTATATTGTTATATATAGATGTATTAATTAGCGAGATATTGCTTTTTTAGATATTGTAAACAATTTAATTAAAAAAAATAAAATCAATAAATATAATAATATTTTAATTTTTTATATTATTAC